AGCGCAAAACAAAATAATCGGTCGTTTCACTGATCAGTACGGACATTTCAGCCCGTATCTCACGACCCTTCCTCAATGCAAGGAAGTTGGTTGACTGACTGCAGAGGCTCTACTTTCACTTGCAGTGAATGGTAGCATGGGGCTGGATGGCCTTCAACGTGAATATATATATATTCACGTGACGGTCTACTGTGAAGAAGACTGCAGAAGGGGACAGGTTCAAGAAAGGTGTTTTGCAAGTGCCAGACGGAAAAAGTTTTCAAATCTTGATTCAACCTCGATAAATAAACGAGTTACACAGGGGAACCCCGCTAGGCTAATGATTCTGCCAGTGAAAATCCCATGATCAGTTCGAAGTATTCTTGTGGCAAAGACCAGTGATTATCTTGTACATCCACCGTGTGGCGACGAAAGTCATCGAAACTGGCGACAACTTTGTCCATCTAATTATAACGAGATCTGAGCAACAAAATAGAGGATTCAACCTTTCAAATATCGGTCTTGCTTACTTTTTATGAAGCTGTCTGATAGAAATTATGTTATTATCATTATGTTATTTATTTAGGTTTTCATTAGGTTATCCGTAGGGAGCTGATCTCGATTTCCGTACCAGCAACAAGATGTGCCTTATTTTAAACGCAAAATCAGGAGCAGCTATTCTGCAAGGATACTGCGTAATTTCGCTTCGTTCCCACAAAGTACTAACTTTTATCAGCTTTGGAAGGAAGAAAAGCGAGCCACCCTGCAGGGGTTCAACTCCGATATCTCTTGTTTCTAAGAGTCTGACGCTGTGCCGACTGAGAAACCCTGATTAAACAGAAGATTTAAGATTTGCGATGTTTGACCATTTGAACTTGTATCTCAGATTATAATTGATGTTTGATCATTTAATACTCACAGGTTTGCTTCAGAGATCTGTTCCCAAGTTTTGAATTATTTTTCAGCACGTCTGTATCAACTGAGAGGACTGTACCATCGAAAAAGACCTTTTGAAAGATTGACATAATGTTTGGTGGCCGTTTTGTTCCAGTTACAGGTCGTTGAATCTTTCAGTGAATTTATCCGAGCCATCGGGTCGTCAGTATCTGTTCGTTCGTAAACGGATTGCTGTATCCTTTCTGAATAGTCTCGTAACTGCGTTGTGCTACACTATCGAAACAATATCGTGATGCTGCTTCCGGGGCACCTTCAATATTACTGCTTTTAACACACATATCGACTTTGCTGACTTTCACTTTTTTATCTTTAAAATTTTAGTTTACACCATTAATTCAATAATTAATTATTATGCACGACGTAACGCTGAATTGCACGACTGTGTCGCACCCCCATTGCTTGTAGACGCCAGGGGACAGCTTTACCAGACCGTGATTCAATGACATATGATTAACAGCAATAAATGGATGCATCACCACTGAAAATGCCTTCTGACCCGAAGGCAGCAGTTTATCTTGCGTCCTTTCGTTAAATGTTTTCGGCTTCCACGAGTCCCGCCAATGTCGCCATTTGCAAGACACTGATTTGTTTCACGGTATATATCCGTCGATGGCTTTCGAATGTTCCATATTTCATACGGCGTTCCGGCATTTACGGTGATACCAGAAAAATGCACCACTTGGTTATCAACGTCCACCGTCACACCAAAACTGTTTGTAAGTACTTGCTGCACTCCAGAGTACATTCTTCCTCTCCCCTCGCACTGTATACACCACAGAGAACAGTCTGTCCATAGTACGACTGCACTATCGATCACGACGATGAAGACATGCTTTCGCAGTGTTATTTGACCGCTAGCGGAATCGTTCTGCGATATAATGCAATCCGCATACATAACATTGGTTAGAATTGCCGCTGGCTACTTTGAGCCGTCACACATTTGTGTCCGGTCTCTCACTGTTCTTCAACTCAGCCCTAATTGGCATTTAGTACTGAATGAAAGACTGGATGACTACTACTCATGTAAACTATTTTTCTGATGAACCGGTCTTACAAATTCTTTGGTTCTTCCTATATCATCAATTGGATTCAGCATGAACTGGTTGATTCCTTACCGCCAAACCACCGACCACATGGTCTGAGGATGAGCTGAATCGGGCGCTATGTGAAAATCTCGAAAAGCCTGTTATATGTACAACTGATATTGCTTTCCTGAAGGCTGATATTCGACGTTAGACAGACTGTATTAGAAATGCCGGTTTATCCTCAATTTAGGATTTCTACCTTGCGCATTAACTGCGCTTCTAGTGTATTCAATTGATTACCAATCACTTATCTGGATGCGGATCTTGCTTGTAGTATTCTAGAGGAAAACTGAACCATAATGATCG